TGAAGAAGTTAGATGAGATATTGCTCCCCCTCTATTCTTGGTAACAGTTCCCCTGCTTGCCCTTTCAATATGAAAAGGGGTCTCAAGCAAGGAGATCTTTTGTCCCCATTTTTTTTAAATATTATTGTGGCGGGTCTTACTACAATGTTGCACGTTATAGTCAGTAAAGGTATCTTAGAGGGTATTTTTGTTAGAGAAGAAAATATAATGGCGAGCCTACTTCAATTTGGCGATGAGACTTTAATTTTCTGTAGATTGAAGCTTGATGAGATCAAAGTTATCATGAGGATTATTTGATGCCTTGAGGTGATTTCTAGGCTCCGGATTAACTTCAGGAAGAGTTCCTTCATCTCAGTCTCCAATAAGGTTATTGAGCTATCTAGCTGGGCTAAAGAGATACACTACAAGGTCAACACCTAACTTTTTATCTATCTCAATTTTCCCTTCAGTGCCAAAAGCGATCTTGTGCATATCTGGAAACATATTTTTAACAAAGTGAAGTTCAAACTTGTTAACTAGAAGAACATATTCTTGTTAAATGCTAGTAGAGCCACTATGATTCCATTAGTTTTACTTCTCTCCTTAATTCTTACATGTCCTTCATGAGGATACTTATGGCCGTTAAAAACAAACTAAAGAACATGTTTAAAAATTTTCTCTCAGGTAGTTTTGCTGAACCTAGAAAAATGCGCTTGGTCAATTGGGGATGTAACACCCTGAGCCTAGGATTTAGGTTTCGGATGACTAAATTTATATTAATAATAATTTTAAAAAATTTTAATTTTAGTTTTTTTAGGATTTTTGAAGAAATATACATTTTGTATATATTTGAAAATAGTTTTAAAAGGGAGGGACCAAAATGGAAATAAGAAATCATCCATTTGAAATGAAAATTTAAAAACTGGGGCAAAAGTGCAAAAATGTAAAAAATGGCCACGTGGGTCGACCACGTCAGCAGTGTTACCAGTCACTGTGTGCCGTGTGGCAGACACGCGAATACGCATTCCACTCGGGAGGCCACGCAGGCAATTCATATGCCAATTGATCCAACGGTCTGGATTCATTCTCGTGCAAACGAACGACCCAGATCTGTTCTCCTATGAGGCGTGATCGAACGATCCACATGCCTTCAATCAGATGGCTCTGATTTACTTCTCAAATAGGCTAGATTCGACTGTAGAGATTGAGCCACGCGGACCCAAACAAATGGCTCAGATCGAGGGAATATGAGTATTTAAACTACTCTTCCACTGAAACCCTAACCCTAGTTGCAACTAGTTTGCCAGAGAAGAAGAAGAAGGGCAACCGGAAGAGAAGTCGGCCACCGTCGATGCCGCATTGGAGACCAAATTGACGTCGAAAAATGAGTTTTTTTTTTCCTTTTTCACTCTATTTTTCCATTTTAAACCATCTCAAACCCTTATCGACGCTGAAAAATCAAAGGAGAAGCCATAAATAGAAGGCGAAGCTTAATTGAGCTGATGCACCCGAAACCAAAAAAATCCTCTCCTCTTCTTGTTCCCTTCTATTTTTTGACCATAGGTTATTAACATATTTTTCGTGCAGGACAACCAAAAGAGGACCACGATTGTGAGGGAGGAGCGGCAGAGCCGTCGCACCGGAAACCCCAAACCGCCGGTAAGTTTCAGTTTTTCCTCCTTTTTCCACTATCAGAAGCCACTTAACCCCAAATCATGTAGATTTTCACCCAGAACCTGCTAAAAAAGACCTGACCGAGAGGGGGAGCCGTTGTAGGTGGCAGAACCGGCGCTGGAGCATGGCGGCATCACCGTGCCGAAACCCTAAACCGACCCCTGAGAGAATTTTGACCATTTTTTGCCTTTTTTAACGTATTTTCATGATATTTGACATATGTTTTGGTTTTCATAAAAAAAATCCAAGAAATTTGGGAACTAGAAACAATTAGGAAGTGTAGTAAAAAAGACGGTGTTCCAAACACCAACTTGGGGTAAGAATTCCTCACCTTTTTTTCCTGTTATGGTAAATTAAAGTTAAAACGATAATAAACGGTAGTCTAAACTGTTTTGTAATTCATTGACAATTAAATACATATTTTCGATTGAGCTGGTAAATTAATTGGGTTTTTGTCCGTTATTAGTTTTTTTTTTACTTGTCATTCTCTATTTTTATTTGTACTTTTATCTGTGAGTTCATTTTCTTTATTTAATTATCTTCAAATTATTTACTTATTTATTTTATCTGATATTTATTTCCATTCCATTAGTTTATTTCGTTCTGTTGTCTTATGTTATTTTGTCATAGTTTATTCCCTTTCATTTCACCCGAATATTTTATTTTATTCCATATACGTCTTATTTTATTCATTTGGCCTATTTATTTACATGAAAAATTTCTATCCTATGTTGCATCCCCATTCCACTGTTGATTATGATTTTATCTCTATTGGTTACCAAAACACGAACTACACGCCCTTTTCTGATTTATTGTATGATCTTATAACTGCTGATTGCTTGAGTAACAATGAAATATTTATGTGCATGAAATAGTGACATGAATTAAAGGGGCATACCATATGTCATGAAAAATGATGTACGGACCTGGTACATATGGTAAACTCTACTGTGGATGTTACCCTCATTCGGACAGAGCTGAGGAATCCCATACTGGAAGGGGATGAGAATTATTTGATTACGCTCATTACCGGACGGGGTATTGAAGCGGTGGTGTGTTTGGTGCCCATTACCATATAGGGTATAGGGACGGCCGGTTGATTTATAGAATGGATACTTGGTCTACATATAATGGGAACCCCTATGTACCCCCAACGATACCGATAAGTAAGTAAAAAAGTAAGGGTTTATTGTTGTTGTTCTATTAGAATGTATGATGTAAATTCCTATTCTGGTTCTTTTCTTCATAAATGGTATCTGGAAACTTAAAAGTAAGCGATGAATAAATATTTTCAAGTTAAATAAATTTACCTAAGAAAGAAAAATAAACTCCATTGGTTGTTTTATGATTTTTACAAACATTTAATTTTTCTATATCGATGGTAAAATATTAATATTTTTAGTAAGTTAGTGTAGCTCACTCCCTTATTATTAATCATTTCATATCAGAACGATTAAAATTCGGATCTTGAATAGTAACAAAATTATCATAAAGGTTGCCTCATGTTCTTCCTAATTATGCAGTGGAGATTGATCATATAGGTTTTCGGTTTATACTTTTTTTTTTTTTTATATATTTTTTAAGAAGTATTCTCGTAGTTCTATTGAACATTTCAGTTAAATTATGTAAGAAATGTAAATCTCAAATTTTAAATTACTTCAACAAAACAAATAAATTTCAATATTATTATTTAACTAATTATGGTCCTTTGTAGGGGAGCTGTCACTATTATTAAAAAAAATGTTGGTCTTTAATATTACCAAAAAGAGTTGTCACTGTTAAAAGAACAAAAAAAAAATGGTGACCCACATTACTACCAAAAGAAGTGGTGGTTTTGACATCCATAATCTTCACAATATATATCACGCCCTCCTAACAAAGTGGATATGGAGGTTGGGTTAGAACTAAGGTGCCTTACGAAAAATAAAAGACAAGAAAAAGAGAGAAAAATTTCAGTTATTCAAAGTTGGTAAGATTGTAATTCATTTGGATACTGATATTAAAAAAAAATTATAAATAATAACTTAGCATAAATTAAAGTATGATTATTTCGCCTTTTTTTTTAAAAAAATAATAATAATGTTTACCCTCTTAAATGCTTAAATGTCAGAAAAATAATTGAATGGAACTATGTAAATGACCAAAATTTAAAAATTCGAATTATTTTTATGTTATTACAAAGAAAATGCACAAAAAATACTCCTCACATTCAACTCAAATAAATTCTCTAACATTTGCAAAGTTGTGAAGATAACAAAAATTTAGATTAGGTTTGAGAAATTAAAAACATCTTTTATACTTTCTAAATTTTTTAATTATATATTATATAAAAATTATAACAAATTAATTAAATAAATATAGAATTTGAAAACCATTTTAGTTTACATATTTCATCAATAAAAATATATATTTTAGAAAATAAAAATAAAAAATATAATGAAAAGTAGCTAGCTAGTTAATGAATTTAATGATGGTCGTCCTCCGAGGTAATTGAGTTATCTATACACATTAATTGAGTTACGACGAATAGGACACAAGAGATGCCGTTTAAAAGTCAAAACAGAAGCATTTATCCTTAATCACTTTCTTGCTTTACTAACAACAATTAATGGGGGCCCTAGAAATCATCAACCCTCAATTAATTAATTAATTATTAATAGAGTTTATTAAGAGATAATAATTAGCTATTAACCAAACCCATTAATTAATTATATTTTGTCATTAACAACTTCGCTATGCCCCATGTTATTATTGGAATTTGCTCAAGTTTAACTCTCTCTGCTTGCTCTTTACCTCAAATTGCTCTTGGATTTGGGATATACAAACGTGCTTCCTCTGTATCTCCACCTTCCTCCCACTTACTAAATTTAACCTAATCTTATCTCAATACATTACATACACATATATGTAGATACCATCTTATTAATTAAGCCACCACAACTTCCATCTTATTAACACAATGTTCTTCTAATAGAAAATCTAAGACTTTATTCTAATGATTAAGAAGTCTAATACATGACTTTACGAACAAGAAAAGAATTGATAAGCAGATAACATTTACATACTAATAACAATAAAATTAATAATACAACTTTTTCTTAATAGAGGACACTTATAGTGAAATTTAAATTCATATAATTGTAGAAAAGTATAAAAACATAAGCTATCCAAGGTAAATATTTAACTCATTTGAAAAAGAATTTAATAATATTATATGGTTAAGAATATAATAAAGTAAAACTGGCTCAAACCCTTTTTAAAGGTTATACAAATTGTCTTGCCTGCTCTTTTTTATTTATAAAAAGAGAAAAAGTAAAGAAGAAAACTTGGCAAAAGCACAAGAAACTAGTAGCCTCTCTTGCTTATTTATTCTCCAAAGCACCTAAAGTCTCATCTCGCTCTGAGCACACACTTCTTAGCAACATGACTATTCACTTGTTCTACTGCTTCTTCTTCTGCTTAGCTCTCTCTTTTCTATTTAATGTAAGTATATACACACACGAACACATACACATACATATATATATATATATGTATGTATAAAGATCTCTTCTTGACCTTCTATTGTTTAATCTTACCATCTTCTCTTATTTTCTCTATGTTTCGCAGGTTTCAAGTGGAGGAAGCAATGAAGTCACCCCAAATTTTTCAACCCAAAACGACCCTTTTACTCCAAAAGCTTCTCTTCTTCGCTACTGGAACAAACATGTTTCCAATAATCTCTCTAAACCTCAGTTTCTTCTCTCCAAGGCTTCACCCTTATCCGCCATTGATGCTGCCAGACTCACCAAATTCGCCACCCAGAACCAACTCTCCTCCCACTTTGACTCCTTCTGTTCTTTAGCTAATCTATTCTGCTTCTTTGATTCGGTTAAGATTGGCTCGCACAGCCGCCCTCGAGACGCCAACTTCGCAGTCTACTCAGGCAAAAGTTTCACCAACTACGGCTCGTCGCAAATCGGACGAGTCGACTCGTTTAAGAACTACTCGGACGGGCTGAACACGCCCAATGACTCGTTCAAGAAGTACAGCAGGGACTCGGGCGGTCGCAGGGAAGAGTTTACCAGCTACGCAACAGACGCCAATGTGGCAACAAACAACTTTACCAGCTACGGTGCTGGCGCCACCGGCGGCTCTGGTGAGTTCAAGAACTACCAAGGACGAGTCAACGTTCCCAATCTCCGGTTCAACTCATACGACTCAGACAGCAATAACCACAAGCTCTCATTCTCTGTCTACACCGACGAAACCAACTCCGGATCCGAGTCATTCATTATGTACGGCAAGGAAGGCAATGCCATCCCTAATGAGTTCACCAGCTACAGCGACAATGCGAACGCCATCGACTCGAGCTTCGCGGGTTACAGTGACTCAGGGAATGCAGCTTATGACTCGTTCAAAGCTTACGGCAGAGCTGCCAATAACCCACATAATGATTTTAAAAGCTATGGCGTTCATGGAAACGCCGGGATCGATACCTTCACAAACTATCGCGATGGAGCTAATGTCGGCGAAGATTCATTTCAATCTTACGCGATAGGTTCCAATGCCGGAAAAGTAAGTTTCAGTAACTACGGCAATACGTTTAATCCAAGCAACTCTACCTTCAAAGATTACGGCCGAGGGTCAAAAGGTCAAACGGCGATCGGATTCAAGAGTTACAGTATGAATCGGTCATTCAAATACTATATCAACAAAGGTGTCAACTTTGCAGGGTATGTAAACGTAAGTTCTTCAGGTAATAACAATGGCCTTTCCGTAAATAAATGGGTTGAAGAGGGTAAATTTTTTAGAGAGTCCATGTTAAAGCAGGGGAATGTCATGGTGATGCCCGACATTAAAGATAAAATGCCCAAAAGGTCGTTTTTACCCCGAACTATCTCTTCTAAATTACCGTTTTCAACCTCCCGGCTGGCGGAGCTCCGGGAGATATTTCACGCGCCTGAGAACTCCACAATGGAGAGCGTGATTGTGAACGCGCTAACGGAATGCGAACGGGAGGCTAGCCGGGGTGAGACGAAACGATGCGTTGGGTCTATAGAAGACATGATAGAGTTTGCCACGTCGGTGTTGGGGCCCAACGTGGCGGTGAGGAGTACCGAAAACGTAAACGGGTCAAAGGGACAGGTGATGATCGGATCAGTCAAAGGAATCAACGGTGGAAAAGTGACGGAGTCAGTCTCGTGCCATCAAAGTCTGTACCCGTACCTACTGTATTACTGCCACTCGGTACCTAAAGTGAGAGTATACGAGGCGGAGATTTTGGAGGTGGAAAGCAGGACCGTTATGAACCGTGGGGTTGCCATTTGTCATGTGGACACGTCAGCATGGGGTGGGGGCCACGGTGCTTTCGTGGCACTGGGATTTGGTCCTGGTCAAATCGAAGTTTGTCATTGGATCTTTGAAAACGACATGACGTGGACAATTGGGGATAATTAGTTAGTTAACGGCTACTTGCTTTCTTGTTTGTTCTATTAATTAATTAATATATTTTGATGTAATTTGGAATATTTTTCCAATTTTTGTTGTATTGTGTTTGAAAAAAAAAAAAAGTAGCTTATTCTCTTGTGAAGTTTAGGCTTTTTCCCGTTACAAGAATAAATTATAATATATTATTTTTTTAGTTAATTAATAATTAATAAATTTTGAATTTATTTTAATTAAGATTAATAGGACAGTTTAAAGAAATAATTTTAGTTACTTAAATGTGTAACCTTATATTAAAAATTAAATGAGCTAAAATTCTCATTAGATTTATGTGATCTCAAAATCAATAAGAAGTAAATCTTAATTTATTAATGTATTATTTGCGGATGATAATATAATTGAAAATTGTTTACAATTTTTTTAATATAATACTATGATTTTATTCAATTAATTTAAGAAAATTAGCATATTTGGTAAATATTTTATGAGGAATAACTTCAAAATCATGTTGGGTTTGAATTGTAGATGAAATTTAAATTAAAAATCTTAATAAGATTTATATTTTTGTTATTAAAAATAATACAAATTTATAAATAAATGTGACTAAAAAGCATAATAACTTTATGAATTTAATTATTAAATTAAAATTTGAGAGTTGATGGGTGGAATAATGTTGGAGCAGAAATAAGTTAGGCTTTTTTTAATGAAAGGAATTTCTAAAAAGAGGAGACAGAGTTTGGCTTTTTTTTTTTTTTTTTTTGCTTACAGAAAAAGAGAGAGAGACAAGACAACACTGGTAGTGAAAGTGGAGGGAACATAAAAAGCATAAAAAATGATGGAGAAGAAGAAGAAGAAAAGGTTGAAAAAGTAAAAAGGGAACAAGAAAAGTTAGGGTTTGGAAGAGACAAGATCCTGGTTGGGATGGGAAATTACACACCCTCCATTCTTATTTCCATTAATGGCCATCAAATTTCTCTTCTTTTTTTTTGTTTTTGTTTTTCACTGAAATTCAAATAAGATTCATTATAACTTCGAAAGACATAGAATGAAATTCCAAACAAAGCAAAAGTAATGATATGAAATTACTAGAACAGTAAAATTTTGAAGTGGGAAAATTAAAATTTGCTACCACTTTAGTGAGACTTAGAAAAGAAGTGAAGGAATCAATTATGGGTGGGTTGACAGAGTGTGCAGGATGCAGCTTTTGAGTGGAACCCATCAACCATTGTTTAAGTAATCATAATATTTGGGGTTCAAGCCTTTCCTTGACCCAATCCCTCATTCTTTTGCTTCCCATTTTTGCTTTTAAATTTTTTTTTTTTTTTTTTTTACCAAAAAAAAAATTATAATAGTATTAGAACTCAAATTTGAATAATTAATTAATTTTAGAATTAAATATTATTTTATCTAAAATAAATACGTTACATTAATTTTAACTTTTTTTATTAAAAAAAAAAAAACTAAAAATTTATTCAAATAGATAAAAAGAAAGAACATCTTAGCAATCAAGAAATTTCAGTACAAAATATTGTCCATCTTGGTTATAGAATTTTTTTTTTTTTTATAGAAATAAATGAATCGAGAAATCCAAAGAAATGAAAAAATTATGAAAACTATAAATAATAGAAATAAAATCGTTAACAATCAAACCAAGTTTCAAGTTCAATGTTAAAACGAATTGAGGTCATTGACCACTCGTAGAGAGTCTCTTTCTACACGTACTCTTGAGATCCCCAATTGGATAGCAAGTTGTGTACCATATAACATAGTTATCACCTTGTTAAATAGAAGCATCCCAATTTAATTTAAATATTTTGTTTGGAGAATATCGTTGTTTCAACTTGACAAAGCTTTAGATTTTGCAATATTTGGTTGTAGTTTATGAATTAATATGTACTTACTTGAATGATTTTTAAATTATGCTTCCACCAAATGTCTTATGAAGTATATAAGAAAGATGCGTAAAATTAGAATTATTAATAAATATTTTACCACGTAAAAGATAAATTAGAGTCTAGCTTGATATCTTTTTTAAGTTAAGCGGAATCAATCTTTACATTTTGAAAGAACATTAGCATTCCATAATTTTTGGAATTCATGTTAGAGAATAAATAAGCACATAAACTAATCTTTAATTAACTTGTTGTACCCAGTTGCTCAGAAAATTGGCTGTATTTTTTTTATCAAGAAATATATATATATATATATATATATATATGAATGCTCACTCATATGATTGAGATGATGAATTGTATTTTAATATCACGTTTGTATGATATAATAATTTCGGTTTAGTAAAAAATAATTAATTTTTATTGAAAAATATGTTTTGCATTAGTTGGGTACGCTGATTAACATTGTCAATGGGCTGGGTCAGACCCGATGAGATCCAAGTTATGTTTGGATCAAATAAATTTTATTAAATAAAGTTTGAAAATTGAAATATTGTTCATTAGAAACACTGGAGTAAATTGTGAATCGGTGTATAAGTTTTGGATATAATTACATCTTGATTCGGTTTCTGATCAGTTTATTTATTAATTTAAGTTTGTTTAAGCATGAGTATAAAATAATTTTAATATACATAATAATACAAATAGCTTTAGTCACATACAAGTTATACAAAATGAAAAGGAAAAGTCACACACACACTCGTATGTATGTATATGTATGTATATATATATATAGATCCAGAGTTTTTATATGAAATATATAAGCTTTATTTAATTCTTTTTTTTTTTTCTCCAGTTTAGAGATCCGAAAGGAATGAAGTTAAAAAGAACCAAAAGCAAGGAAAATTTGCATTGCAACATAAAATTGCAATATTATGCAGATTATATATATATATATATGCATATATTAATA